CCAAACATCGAAATTGATTGAGGTGACTTTTGGAATCGCTAGAGTACATGTGTGTTGAAAATGCTCATGATTTTGCCCCTCACAGATCAGTTATAGATGTCTTACCGACATGATAAGATGTCCTTCATCTGGAAAAAGTGAAGGAGGGAGGGGGTGGGCTCAAAAAGAGGGGAGGAAAACTGCTTTCGGTTCTCAGCCTATATATTCGTTCGGAACTCGGCCAACGCGACAGACATGACTAGGGCCACTAGGGGGCCGCTCGAGTACTAATATCTCCCCCTGCCTTTCCCCGCATCCAGCCCTCAATCCGTCTGAGCCCCTTAACCCCTACGAAGACCCCCATTTTACAAAAGAAAAAGAAAAAAAAGGGAAAAAAATAACGTAAACCGAAAAAATTTCTGATAAAATTATGTTTGATGGACAACATAATTCTTTTATAAAAAGAGGTTTACGTAAGCCTGCCCCTCCACGTAAGTTCTTGTAGTCTAAAATAAACTCAGACTCCTTCCTTCCTCGGCCGAGGCTTGAGAGGCTCCCTGGTTGAAGGCAATCACTGGGATGCAATTATACATGCTCGAAGGATGTCCATGTAGCATAAGCAAACAAAATCAGGCGCCATCGTTTACTTCCGATACACTCAGCCCCGCGTGGCTCATTAGAATTAATCCCTACCTGGTGGCGATTCTTGCAAGTTAGTAGCACGGTTTTTTCTTCTATTTATACACGGTGATTTAGAGTTAAACGGCCGGACTGCAGGAGCCGAATCACTCCCAAACCCCCTCTTTAAAGTGAGATTCCGATTGTTTTTAGATCATTTATGAATTCAGGGCATAAAAAGTACAAGGGAGTATAAATTTTCATGAGATTTGGTTCACAACCGTTGCCAAAATTCAGGAAAAAATGTTTGCTTCCCGAAATTTGGGAGGGGGGGCGTAGCTCCGACTGGGGACACTTTTGGAAAAGAACTTTATACAACAAAAAAGTCTTATTTTGACTCATAGAACACGCTCCCGCATGCAGTCTGGCCGTTTAACTCCGGATCACCCTGTGTAAATGTAATGAAGTCTGTATAAAGCGGCGTCTTTCCATAAATTCATTGTTTTGCATTTTGTGCATTCATTTAAAATGACGATACCGGCGTTCTTAACCTGCGCGGATCGCCACTGCTAAAACCATCTCTATCAAACTTCTTGTTATTCCTTCTATAGTTAAACATGTCTCGTCCTGTGGTGTTTTTTTAAATTATTTGGAAAAATTAGATATAATAGACCCTTACGATCTCTCGTTTAAAGTGTTGAAAGATATAGGATACACTAAATGATAAATGCAGTATTCTATCATTTGTTTTTATTTTCATTTCCAGAAGTTCTCACAGTTGGTCGTCTGTAAAGAAGGAGTTGAGCTCTTCGCGTAAGGTACCAGGATCAAGCCAAAACTTCATTGTCCCTACAGGTGAATTTCTTTTGCTGTGTTTTGTACACTTATAATCTATTTATAATTTGTTTGAAAATCCCTGGTACAAATTGGCGATAAGAGCTGCGTTTCAAAATACCATAGGAATTCTTATAGCCGGCTAAAGGAGGCTACAGAAAATCATATAGCTGGCTGTAGAATGCGGAGAAAATCATACGGCCGGGCTATACGAAGCGATAAAAAATTAAATTATGCAGCCGGGCCATAGTTCCTACCGCCGGGCTTTACACTTTATCGCCTGCTATTGCTTTTTCGCCATCGATTATAAAAGGCTATAAGAAATTGTGTAGAAATTCGTGTGCTTTGGAAATCATTAAGTTCGATACGGAACTACCTTAATATTTACGAAACATACATTATATTGTCCTTTAATACATTATTTTTTCATAAATTAAAATGAGAATAATCCATACAGGATGTGCAAACATTTCAAAATCATGAGTTGAATAACGCAGACTCCGCCAGATTAAATATTAGAGCCTATCACAAAGCGGAGCGGCGACGCACTGGCGCCTACAAACCTAACAGGGATACTTCGCGCATTGCGCAACGCGTGAAGTATTCCTGTTTTAGGTTTGTAGGCGCTGTCTGCCCGCCCGCCGCGCCGCAGCGTACCACGGCATCTGAATAAGCAACTATTTCACACCAAAGGTATTGCACTGTATCATACAAAACTGAAGGCGCTCCAATATATTAGTAATGGCAGGCATCCATCAAAAGTACGGAGCTTTCCTCGCAAAATAAATCAAGATACTACGGCACAAAAAGAGAGCGGTAGTCCAAAAACTACCTAAGTCCAAGCATCCGTAATTAGTAACGTTTAGCATACACTTTATCGCCTGGCTGTTGCTTAATCGCCATCGGCTATAAAAGGCTATAAGAAAGTGTGTAGCCGGCTATAGACGCTATTGGAAATCTTAAAGCCAGCTGTAGGTCTATGGTATTTTGGAACACAGATTCTACTGCCAATTTTTACCAGGGATTTGATGATATTTTTATTAAAATGTCGCATTTCATTACTTAGTTTTTAACTGAAACCTAAGGTGTTGAACCGAATTTTGGTGTAAAATGTTATAAACTCAGATGAAACATCTGATATTTTAATGGCCCGATTAGAGTTTTGGTAATATTTTGGCAAATAAAGATTAACAAAATAGGTAAATGGTGGCAAACCCCTCAGCTAAAGATCTCCGTCTGGTATCCCAAATCAGTGGGCTCCCTAAGTTTTTAGAATCACATATTACCATATCACTTCAATATATTACATGGTTTTACCAAGCGAATTTTTTCTGAAAAATCGAAATTTCATTTATTAGATTTCAAATTTCCAAAAAATTCACCTTAAAAACATGAAAATAAATTTAAATATTTTTTTGTTTAAATACGTGCAGTTTTTCCCTCAGTGCTTTTACCTTTATTCTCAAGGTTGGTCCAATAAATTTGATCAGATACTTTTGAGACACATACCTATACTTCTCGTGGATCCGACCTGTAAAAATAACCTGAATGCAACTCATGATTGAATGGCTTAGGGGAGAAGGCGCATTAGTGCAGTTTTTGGAAAAAAATATTTATTAATGATTTCAAGTAAAAGTAGTCTTAGTGCATATTCTGTGAAAGAATCACTCTCAAATTCGAATTTTTAAGGATCAAAAAGTCAATTTTTGAACTTTCTTTTCGCCTTAAGGATCCGTGTAATTTCGAAATTTCAAACACGTATTTCTCGAAAAGCAAACACTGCTCTTATGCGCCTTGTCATCCAAGCCCCTCAATTATTCATGCACTGAAATGTAACCAAGACGCGAAGCTGCGATCCCTGGATTCCCCTTTAGGCTACACGGTATTAGAGATATTTTGTCACTGAAGAGAGGTAGGAAATCGGAAAGCGGAGAAAAATAGAGACTAAGAGCTCGAAGGAAGAAAACTCGGTGGGACAAGGAAGGGAAGAGAGAAAAAGCGACACGAATCTATTAGGTGAGTCAGGATCAGCTCGGATTAACGGTTGCTTTATTAAAGGAAAATATTGGAGTGCCAAATACAGGCGCCACCGCTCGGATTCCGCGAGTCTTGCATTCCCGCCACGCGAGGAGCGTTATTATAAACTCGAAATCATAATATTAAAAGGAAATCAAAACCGCAACATGGAAAAATAAAATATACAAATTGCATTATCTTGTGACAATATGATCTTGAGGGTTGCCTAGGCGTCGCGGCGCGGCGCGGGGGGAGGAATGAGAAAAAAATAAGCGAGCGTAATTCTTCGCCTCGGGGGGATCTTAGAGACGAGTTGACTTTCGGCGCGGCGCGCGGCGCACGGTGGCGTGTGCAGAAATTCAATCATTTTGGTTCGAGTTATAATTTGCAGCCAGCAAAGGGTGCTCCGCGCGGGAGGTCTGCCTACCCTCTCATCCCCGTGGCACTCTTCTTTTCCACCCCCCACACCTTCCCACCCCCTCCTCCTCCCGTTAGCCCGACCTCGTCTAGTTCGGCAGCAGGAAATGAGCGACGTTTGCCAGTCAAATTGTGTTGCTCCATTTACCACCTTTTTCAACGCCGACTTAACTGTAAATCTGAATTTCAGCCCAGGCTCCAACCGCAGAACGGAGGGTTGAAAACAGTTTTATATAGGGAATAACGTATAACAAAATGTTCATTGGCGGATCCAGCAAATTGGCAACATGATTTTTTCTCCATTCAAATCTATGGAAATGTATCGATTCTCGGGGGTCTGGGTGCCCGACTAGAATCGATTATTTGACATGGGTTTAAATGGATGAAATTCGGTGTTGCCAAATTCCTGGATTCGCTGATGAACATTTTTCGTCTAGAACTTTACAGGTTAAACTTTTTCCTGGAAATAATGAATTCCTCCGAAATCTCATAAAAATGTTCCTTCACAAGTTTTTAGATCCACGAAGAAAAAAAAACATCTGTTTCTTACGAAACGATAGATTCAGGAGGCACACCTTAGTTCAGAAAACTAAACCTTCGATCGTAAGAACCGATGTCTTAGGTTCTCAGTGCCGAACCTTGGTTCCATCCTATGAATCAGAGGTGTTTCTAAATCATATTCCATGTGAAACAGTTTTTCGGTTCATTGAACTGAATATTGGATCCGAAGAACTGGAACTTTACGCTTCGGTGAGCCGAACTTCATTCAGGTCTTGTATACCAAGAAAGTACATTACAACTGACAATTAGTGCTCCGTCCTTCATTTAAAATGACGAAACCCAGTGTTCTCAACTTGCGAGCATCGCCAATTCTAAAATCACTACTATCAATCTTCATGTATTTTTTTCCTTCATATAGTTGAACATTCCTCGCTTAAAAGCACTCGCTTTTTCAAATTCTTTAGAAAAATTAAACATTAACAACCCTTGAAGATCTATCTCTTAAAGTGGTGAGACAAACTTCAAAAAGTTCGTAAAATAATCCCTAAGCAGTAGTGCCGCAATATCTTAATTCGACATTTTCAGTTATACCTATTACCTTTTCCCGGGGAATTTTATCGCTGCATCGATGTTAAAACATATATTGATAGCCAAAGTACAAAACCACGTATCTCTATTCCGCGATTTCAAAAGTTAGGCTCCTATTTTACTTTTTCTGCCAACTTCAACATATCGACGGCGTAAGTCTGCAATGACATATTTCGTTTGCGGTGTCTGAAAATCTCCGCCTCTATGTTATTTTTTTAAAGGAGAACAAATTGATATCATTCCTTGAAGTTTTTGCAGAATTTTCTTCGCACGGAGAGGAAAAATCATGGCAGTTTTAAAGAATTGCCGTTGAGTAGTTTCCCGTTTAAAAAATTAAGTATGATTGGAAGTCTGCGACGTCGCAAACCGAGTTATGTGATTGCCGACTTGCACCGTCGATATGCTTTTTGTGCCGACCAGCGACCGTGCACTGCATTAAGCGCAATGCGTGAAGTATCCTTGCACTCTCGTAGGCGCTAATCTGCTAATCTGCAACTTCAAGCCAACTTCATGGCTTCAAATTGATGCAGAATAATCCGCCGACAGAGAACAAAAATCATTGCGACTAAGCGCAATGCGTGAAGTATCCTTGCACTCTTGTAGGCGCTAATCTGCTAATCTGCAACTTCAAGCAAACTTCATGGCTTCAAAGTGATGCACAATAATCCGCTAAAATATAAGAAAAATCATTGCGATTTTCAAGAGGTTACGCTGATCAGTTTTCCTCAGAAAAAATAAAGAATAATAGGAAGTCTGCTATGTTACAAACGAAGATACGTGGTTTCGCTTTTCGGAAATCCGTATAGCTACCTATAGATTCTTATTTAAAATGAAAAACGGTGATTTACTGTTGGAAATTCGTGGACTTTCTTTAGTTTGTCATTTGCTCTCAAGTGAAAATACCGCGCAAGCGAAGCTTTGGTCCACAACCGCGATATCTTAATACCTTTAATTTTGATTAACGGTCCAGATAACGAGATTAAAGGCTGCAAGGTTGACTTTGACGAGTGGCTGAAATATGTAATTAAAACAAATGAGCCCCTCTCGCTAATAAGTGCAATGAGGCGTTACTCTCAATGAGCTCAACCGAGACGCAAGCATTACGTAGCGTTTAAGCTTTTGTAGATAAATGATGTGCTTTGCGTCACTCGCTCAGAAGACTATAAAACAGAAGCAGAAGCAACTTCATTTTCGGCTTTACCAGTCACAACATTGCGCGTTAGTCGGGCAACGTTACAAGAGAACGGAGAAATCTTCACCGCACGTTTCATAATTTTCTTTCTTTTTTATTTTTTATGAAGCTAACTATAATGACATAGTGCAATGGCATGAAATTACGAGTTTTTCTATTTGTTTCATCTTTAGAAGAGGAGCTACTAACATATAAAATTTAGAAATAATTCAGAAAAAAGTTATATGCATATGTTTCTTAAAGACCGTTCATAAAATACGTTAAGCTGAATTTCAGAATTTTCGCCCCCTTCCCCTCTCGTAACATT